AAACATAATGTTCTTCATGTAATTGTAGATTAATGATACAAAAAAAAACAAAAACAAAAACAAAAAAACATTATGGAAAAGCTATATTCAGGTGAGAACCAGAAACAGATTACTTCTTCATTTGTCATGAATAGGTTTTATAGCATATGATTTTAACATAAATGTAATTTTAAGTATTTCTATAAATTTAGTTTTACTATTTGTCAATACACTTTAAAGGGACACTTTTTGACCTTATGTCAAAGACTATGAAGGGCCTAAGATTTTATTGTACTGACAAGCTAATAAGTTAGTCTGCCACAGTTTCACAGTTCTGGCAAAAAGATGTGGGACTCCTTGGCCAAAGATGAAAGCCCTTTATTGCTCACAGCAGAAGCCAGAGTATCAGCATTTCCTTGTCCTGTTCCATGAGTTCCAGTTCCAATAGGAAGAGGCAAAGAGGGTCAGGTACAACCTGTATACACAATGGGTTGCTTATAGAAGAAAAAATCTGAGCTTAGAGAATATGAATATTTCATGAGGGCAGTAAGTTTACCTGCCCTCTTGCCCCAGAGGGAGATACGATGTTTATTATCCTGGGCAGTATAGTAAAGCCTGCCCTTGGCTCTAGAAGGAGGCACTTGCTCTATCTTCAAAGCTGTTAACCATACAAATATTCTAAAAGATACAGTCTGGCAGGAAAGTAATCAGTGCCTCCACTCATAAGATGTGGAGAAATGCAAGAAATCCATGGAGAATCATCTCCCAAATGCAAAGATATCACCTAGCACAGTAGGTATTCAGTGTTTCCTTGGTGAGTGAATGTTGAATGTGTGTCTATGATAGGATTTACAAATATCAACTGCTTATTTTATAATAAACACCATTCATTAGTTATTTCATGAACTGCATTAGCTTCCCAGTCTCAATTCCTGCTATTCTACACACATCTTCTGTGTAAGTCATGGATAATTATTTGTAGTTTCTGAAATTTCATGTAATTGTTTACTCCTTTGTGGGTTTTGTGCATGGTAATCCATCTACCTGAAATCTCTTTCTTTCTCTTGTTTGCCTGAAAATCTCCCACATATTCTCCAGTACCCATGTCAATGTACTTCTATACCTGTTCTTTAGAAAAATGAAATGGATGTAAAGATGTGCACTAACTATCCACCATATTGCATAATAATCTGATGGAAAATTATTAGAATCCAGCAGACTTAAGCCTTTAATACTGATTTACACCACGATGTAACTTTTTCTCTTTTGCTAGAGATAGGAATGCCTTGCAGGTGTTCTCTGATAGTAGAAGGATGGATAAATGAGAAAATGACATATTTTTGTATCATTAGGTCCAAAGATACACAGATGCCATACAACAGATGAATCCACACTTATTTTTTAATATATTTACACCTGTAATTATCTTTAATGTTGCATTTGACATGGACATTTACATGTTCCACAAGTTATTTTGGCAGGTAAGAAGTATTCTTTTTCAGTAACATTATTCACCCATGAACTACTGCATGTTTTCTATGTTTTGATTTTTTAAAATTTTGCTCCAAATTAGGAAACAAAGAAGGGAGGGAAAAAGCATGTGGTGTGGGAGAAGTAAATTGAGCTTTATATTTTAGAGACTACATCATATCTTGGCACTTGTCTAGCATATTGAAGACTCAGGAAAAAGTTATGGAAGGAAAAAAGTAATTCTGAAAATCTGGCTGGCAGAACATATTGCCAGTTACAGTTTTAACTTTGAGATGCTGAAAGAGAGCTATTACTGAGATATATTAGGTCCAGTAAAAGGAAATTGTTGATAAAGTCAGGTTTTAAACACCCGCCTTCTAAAACTTCCCACAAGCACATGTAAAAGAACAAAAACAGAGAATAGCAACAATAACCCTAATTCACAAACTTTTAAGATCTTTTTCTAGTCATATGATATTTGGATCTCATCAGGGAAAGACCCTGAGAAAAAATACTCCAGATCTTAAACAGAGTGTATTTCTTTCAAATTAATCAAGAGTTTCGTAAATGTAAGGCCATTATCTAAACTACATTAGAAGGAAAACTATTACAATAATTTATACCTTAAATAGAGTCAAAGCAAATGGAGTTCAGACAAAAGACAAAAAAAATGAAATTGGAAAGAACAGAGATATACAAGTAATTGGGGCTGGTTCAGGTGACCTCTGCCAGGCTGTCTCCTGCACTATATTCCCCTTTGTGGGGAGGGGGGCCACCGAATGAGCTACATGGCCTGCCTCATGTACCTGTTGGTTGATATTAGTTTTGCTGGGGCCGTGGGTATCCCTGTGACCCACGTAGGGGGTTATTCCAGGCTTCTTCACATGAAGTTGCAGAGTCTTAAGCTCAAATTTGCCAGAACTTTTTAAGTCTTTGCATTATGTTTGCTCTTATTCCTTTAAGCAAATTACATGATGGGCCCAAAGTCAGCACAGGAGTCAGCTACTCAGTGGTGTGGATTCAGGAAGCAGAGGCACTACAGCCACTTTTGCAAAAAATACACATGTAATTCTTGGAGGGTATCAATAGCTACCTGGTGGAAGAACAAGAATTTAGGCCTCCTGACCCTCAATCCTCTCTTCTCAAAGCTTCATTTAAACTTATTCCATTGAACAGGAGTTAGTAATACAACTCTGCTGACCACGAAACCTTACAGTGAGAACTCAGCCACACTGGAGGTAAATTATCGAGGGGATCTTGACTTTCTTTCACCATCCTGATGCTGTCATCAAGCTTTAGCCACCAAAGACTCCCTGTCAGTATGCCGGCCTCCGTATTGCCATGTAAACATTCAATCACTGTTCTGCCACGTCTAAGATTGGGTTAGAGGTGTATGACTAAGTGACGTAACCAAAACCGCTCAACACTAGCACCAGGGCCTCTTGAATCAATGTCCAGTGCTCCTTCCTCAGCCTATTCTGCATGATTGTCCTTGCACAGATGAAAGAGGAAAATAATCAGGAAGACAGCTGTTAATATTTTAGTTCTGAATTCTTTTTTTTTAAGTTGGCTTGGTTTTGCACCTTCCCGGTGCCTATCACAATGCCTCGTGTGGCAAATAAACATGCACTAAGTGAGGGAATGAGAACCTGTGCTTTTTCATTAGGAAAATGTGTTGTGTGACTTTCCTGATATAGCAAAACTAAGACAGGAACCTGAGGGTACCATTTGATTTTACTTCTCTGGAGAATTGTTTTAAACAGGAGTGACTGGTACACTGCTGGTAGTTGTATTTGTTGGAACCTTTTTGGACGGCAGTTTAGTAGTATCTATGGAAAGCCCTGAAATGACATGTCCTTCATCTTACTTACTGAAACTCTAAAGAAATAATTAAAGATGTATGATAAGGTGTAGTTACGATACTTTTTTTAATGCTGTTTTTTATTTAATATTGGCAGTAGGGACATTTTCAATATCATTAATAAATCCTTATCCTTTCTTATTTTTTTAATTGAGATACAATTAGTACATAACACACTAGTTTCAGGTGTACAACATAATGATTTGATATTTGTATATATTTTGAAATTATTGCCAAAATAAGTTTCATTAACACCCATCACCTCACATAATTAGGAAATTTTCCTTAGATGAGAACTTTTAAGACCTGCTCTCTTAGCAAGTTTTAAATACACAATACAGTATTATTAGCTATAGTCACCATACTATACGTTGTATCCCATGATTTATTTATTTTAGAACTGGAATTTTGACACCCTTCACCCATTTCACCAGCTCCCACCCTGGCCTCTGGCAACCACCAATCTGTTCCTTGTAACTGTATGAAACCTATTGTTTCATTGTGTGTGTGTGTATGTGTGTGTCAGATTTCACATATAAGAAATACTACAGTATTTATCTTTCTTTGTCTGACTTATTTCAGTAGTATAATGCCCTCAAAGTCCTTCCATGTTGTTGGAAATGGCAATTTCCTTCTGTTTTGTGGCTGAGTAGTATTTCTTTATGAATACGTGTATGTATGTATGTATGTATATGTATATGCATATATGTATCACATTTTCTTTATCCATTCATCTATCAATACACACAGGTTGCTTCTATGTCTTGGCTATTGTAAATAATGCTGCAGTGAATATGGGGGTGCAGTTCTGAAATTTTATAGGTACTTTCAGGCACAATCACCACCTTTTCCCAAATCCATTTGGGAATGAAATCTTGCTTAATAGGCACCATAGGTAGAATAAGAAAAAGTAGAAGGCAGTGTGGTTGAAAAGTAGAAGGCCAGTTTTCAGTTATTAAATAACGGAATTTCCCTTCCCATCTTTTCTATAGTTCTCTGCCATTTCTCTACATACTTTTTATTATCTTCTTTCTTTTCCTCTTTTGTAACTTCTTTCTAAATTTGTGTTCTTTTTTCCTATGTCAATAGCCTATGTCTCAGTTTTTATGCATAGCTAAATGTATGTGTGTGTGGTAGGTATGTATACATGTTCACAAATACAATTTTATATTCAATGACCTTATAAGAAAATTAAAAGTTACTTTTTAATAATAGTATGCTATTTCCTACAACTGGTATTCTTTAGGTACTAAGAATCTCATTGGAATATTGCCCCTTATTTCCAGGTTGCAAGCACATAACTATTAAATAAGATAATAAAAAATTTCCTTTTGATGGATTGTGATTCTACACCTCTAATAATCCTGATAATATGCTTTAAAAAATGAAATACAAAGACAATTTGATTTTTCTATCTGTAAAATTTCTTTTCAGATACTTTTAATTACAATTCCTGGCTTTCTGATGAATTATATTTTAGTTCTTTGGTATCTGACATCTGTGAATAAGTTACTTTTGAAAACCATCCCATGGTTATTATTTTCATCTATCCTTGTGAGTTCAGATCCCACGCTGACTGCAGTTGCTGTAAGAGACCTTGGTATGTCTATTTTTCTCTTTTTCTACATTTAAAATAGCATATTCTATAATTAACTTGCCTGATTTTAAGATCTTTTGTTCACTGTAGCTTTTCACTATGTGAAGTTGGGTACTGGGGCAGTGGGGGTTGAGCATAGAAATTTGGGTTGGTGATGCTTAGAACAGAATGAAATGCCAGTGATGGGATTACTGTGTGTGTGTGTGTGTGTGTGTGTGTGTGTGTGTGTATATACATATACATATATATACATATAGATTAAAGTCTTACATCTAATTGTGTAATAGGCTAAGGGGTTATTTGAAATCCTTGACTTTATATTTGCCCCTCCCTTGAACCAACAGAATAGTTCTGGGGGCATTACAATATTACATATGCATTGTGGTGACATTTCTATTGCCCAACGCCTCTTTTCCTTGAAAATAGGATAAAGCCATTTGTTTAAAAAATATTGCCTTGGGAATCACTGTCACTATTAGGACTAAAAATCTGAAAAAAACACAATAAAATCACTAATTACACAGTGTTTACAGTGTACACTATTTTAGGACAAACCCCCCCCCACCAAAAAAGAATCTAAAACATTGTTTTTCCAAATCTATTGCTCTCATTCAAGAAAAACAATAACTTAGTTTTCCCTCAACCACTTCTTAATAATGAGAACTAGAAATAGAATTCCAATTCTTAAAATAGAATTCTAATATGGCACACACATACACATGTGCATGCAAACACACACACACACACACACACACACACACACACACACACACACACACACACTTTTCAGTTTTTGTCCAGTTAAAAGGACAAAGAACTGCCTTAGACAAGTAGAAATAGTAGAGACACATCAAGTGGACCTATTATGCATAAAGGAAAGCCAAGTCTTCAAAACAAGGGGATTAAGATTATGAGACAACGATTTTAGAAGAAGGAAATGCCAGTGTCTATCATCCAACATGACTCCATGGGATTATGTCATTGCCAACCCATTTCCTGCTCAGAAGATTGTGGGGAGTTTCTATGCTACCTCAGAGCATTCCATACTTCTCTTGACTTTGGGTTAGTCTCATAAATTTTTGTCCGTCTTGCCATTACTCTTGAAGTTTTTGTTTCCTCATTATTTTTCATCTTTTAAAAAATTTTGTAAAAGTAAAGTATGTTTCTCTTGGCAACATTTTTGCCTGAATTTACAAAGCAAAATTTTTTTTTTTATCCTCAGAAAAAATTTGCCTAGACCTATGAATAGAGTACATGAATACATTCACATTGTCCCTAGCTTTTTATGGTCTGCTGACTACTCTTACACCCCCATGTCTGTTTATTTATTTCCAAATATTCACATTTTGTTATAGTTCCATTTTCTAAAATGGAACAATTATACAACAATATCAGTTTTTTCTGAATAAGAAACAACTGAAGAGTTTTAACAACTGAGTAAGAGAAAACAGTGGCTTAAAACAATTATTATTTCTCTTGAGTGTGACAGTTTTCTGATGATATGCACTGAGCTCTGCTGACCTTGGCAGGGCTCATGAGTGAATCAACAATCAGCTGGAGGGTCAGCTGGGGGCTAAATGATCTAGGATGGCCTCAACTGGGAAGACCGACCTTTATCCCACATATTTCTCACATTCCTCCAGTAGGATAGTAAGGGAATTCTGCCTTGATGGTAGAAAGTGTCCAAGAGAGGAAGCAGAAATCTTTCTCAAGCCTCTGGTAGTATTTAGTCATAACAAAACAGATGGATCTCTTTAGAAACTGCAAAACCTTATAGCAAAGGACATGGATGTAGAGAGAAGTGAAGAATTAGATTCTCAAGGCAATCAAGCTTCCACAGGAACAGGAACAATCAACCCTGGCGTTTCTTCTCATCTAACAGCCTACTTACTGTATTAGGTTGTGATCAACTACATATAGAGTGGATGTTTCACAAGAAAGGCTTTTCCCATGTAGTAATATTTCCTTCTTATGGACATTTAGGAAATCATTAAAGACGGTCATAGTTAGTTTTGCCATTACAGGTATATTTCATAGCAAAGAAAAGGATAATTGATGGATATTTAAACTCAGAATATCATCATCAATGGAGGAAAATCAAGATAGAAGTCAATCATATGAGGGTCTTGCCATTCATGCAGCTTTATTTCTAAAACCTTGAAAGGAATCTATGGGAAAGTTAGACAACATCTAATTATAGTGAGATTATCTGGACAATTGCCTTAATACTTCCCTTAGGTACTGTGTTATAAAGCTTTGTTTTATGAATTTACTTTATTGCTCCATCATCGTTTTTTGTCTTGCCTTAAACACATGATGTATATATTTATATAGGCCAAATCACTGAATTTAAAAAAATGATTTTCTTGTTTTCATCTGTGCTTTAAAATAAAGAATGAGAGCTCTAGTTGATTATCTCACATATATAAACCATAATCAACTACAATTAACTTGGTACCTAATTATGATGCTCTAGACTTAACTTAGGGTCTATATATAATTAAATTTCCTTGAAGGTAATTTTCAAACATGACCGAAGTTTATTTAAGTATGTGGCAAGAGTATGTTATATAAATCCATAGCTAAGGATATCCTTCTACTTAATAATAAAATTTTAATCTTTAATATTAATGAAATTTTTCCTACCTGAAAAAAATATTTTTCCCTTCCATAGGTCTTTCTAGAAGCCTCATCAATTTAATTAATGGGGAAAGTCTGATGACCTCTGTAATGTCTTTAATTATGTTTACTAGTGTGGTAGATCTTAATTCTGGCCAGCAAAGGGAAATGAACTTTTCCTTAGGTAAGGAACTATTTTTTCCTTAATTTCCTAAAATCAGAATCCTGTATTTTCTAAAAGCTGACATGGATTTCATAATATCTTACCATAAATTATGTTTGTACAAACATAATTGTATTAGTATAGTAATGCATCCTTTACAAAGCATTATCACACATCCCTTAGTTAACATTAGTTATGGTTTTGTTGTGTGGCTGGTTAGAGATTTTTTTCCTGAGGATATTTATAGGAGCAACGTTCCACAAGCCTAGGCTGAGCCAGAGTGCTTGGTACCAAGAATGAGAGATGTTGTTTCTATGGATTGAAGAGATAAGTCGATAAGCCATTGGTGAGAGGAGACAGCTTTCCTTCCCGTGGTCCTGGGACTATCTCCCTGCAGGCAACACAGAAAGCTGTCAGCTCAGGAGGAAGTGTGAGTCCTATGTCCATCTTCAGGGTCTGAGGGAAGTGCTTGTAAGCAAAGAGATTGCAAGTGCCCAGGAACTTATTTACCATATTCAGAGAGCCTTAAACCATAAGTAATTGTTTTCCTTTATCATATATGTGTGTATAAAATAAATGATATATGCACATCATAATTAATAATTTTAAAGTGTACAGATGTGTAACTGTCTCTCAGGACAAAAAATATAGTATTACCAGCACTCCTAGAAGCACCTTATATGCCCCACCTTAAACAAAACCCCCTTATGTGCCTCCTGGAACAATGGTTCCCAGAATGTAGTTGCTGGGTTGGAGTGGGGAATAGGGTTCAGAGAACCCTTTAAGGGTGTCCATGAAGTCAAATATTTTCACAATAATACTAAAAAGTTATTTGGCTTTTTTACTATGTTCCCACTTGCACTGATTTGGGGAAAAAATTTTTACAGTCTTCTTAAGAAAATTGCTGATGTACACTACCCCATTCACTGTATGTCTCCTGGATTCTAAGGCCTTCTGCAGCATTATCTCATTCTGTCCCTTAGCTCCCTGAAAAAAGAGTGTTGGGAGGTGCTCTGAACCATGTTCTAGTACCTCAGAGGTTTATATCATGCCCCAAATCCATTAAGTTGAAGTGGTTTTCTTCCAATACCCCTTCTCCCTAGAAATCAAGCAAATCCTAAATTAGCTTTGCAACCATTCAAGAAGAGAAAGTTTGAGCTATAGTTGTTTTTATGTCCCTGGAGAGTGCTTCACTGTTGGGTAGCCAAGGACCCTGTTTACCTCTATGCTGACCCATCTGTCATATATATTCATAATCAATGCCTACAAATCAGAATCAAAGACTATTCTTTTTCAAGGAGCCCCATTCTGGTGACCATCACCTTTCTCATGTCTTCCTCAAGGGAGCTGACCTAGATGGTGGTCAGTTACCCTACATGGGCATGAGAAGCACACACCTTCACCTTTGATCTATATCCAGTTTGTTTGCCCAGTCCATGACAGTTTGGAACATCTTTGGTTAAGCACAACTGCAGTTTAGCACAGGAAGGTACCTCTTCTTTAAATGCTTCATACATGCCAGCTGTGGTCTAAGAGAAAGTCACACTCAGCAGACTCAGAGACTCCAAGAATGAACTAATGGTTACCAAAGGGGAGGGATGTGGGAGGGCCAGTGGGAAGGGAGGGAGAAGGAGACTGAGAGGTATTATGTTTAGTACACATGGTGTGGGGGATCATGGGGAGAACAGTGTAGCACAGAGAAGGCACATAGTGGATCTCTGGCAACTTGCTGAACTGATGGACAGTGACTGCATTGGGGTATGGGTGGGGACTTGATAATATGGGTAAAGGTAGTAACCACATTGTTTTTTTCATATGAAACATTCATTAGAGTGTATATCAATCATACATTAATAAAAAGAACAATAATTTTTAAAAAAAGAGAGAAGCCACACTGACACACACATACAACCTCTTCCAAAATCCAAAGTCTAAAGGGAGGTGACACAATATGGCACTCAGAGAGCTTTCACCACACAGACCTTACCCTGTACATAAGATATTTTTCTTTCCTAAAGGAGAAAGTAGCTTTCAAACTGGGTCTGCTAACTCCAGTTCCCTGCCTCCTGCTGAAACCAGAGTCTCTCCATCCTATGTTTCAGTTACAGGTGATACTGGACTCTCGAAATTATCACCATAGCCAACTCCATCCTTAGAGCAGATGTGACCTGTAGGGCCATTCATGAAACTCTCCTCCCATGTTCACATTATCCCTACAGGTATGTTAAATCTATGACCCAAAGTCTGCTCTTCTCTTCCTCACCCTGTAAAGGTGGAGAGGGACTTCCTCACCCACCGGCATGCCTGATTGCAGAAACCAGTGCTATCAAGGTCTTAGCTGTCTGGTTTTCCTGGCAAGGGCATCGTAATGAGTGTGGAAAGCAATTTGGCAAAATGTAATAACATCAGTAAAGGGGCAATTATCTTCTAGTGTAACAATTTCACTTCTGGGGCCTGAGGAAATAATCAGAGAAGTACAATAAAGTTCTGTATAGAGATATACACTGGTGCATCGCTTATCAGGGGGAAAAGTGGAACCGAATGAAAGGCCCAACAGTAAGGAACCAGTCAGTCAGTTTGGCAGGTCAAAACAACAAAGGAGATTTACTCAGCTGGAATCTAGGGGTTTTCCTTTTTCTGCATTTGCTGTGTGGATCCAGGGGCTTTCCTTTTTTTCTGTATTTGCTGTACAGATCCAGGGGCTTTCCTTTTTTTCTGTATTTGCTGTGCATTTCAGGTTAGATCTAGAATATAAGTTCCATGAATTTAGGGACTTTCTGCTGCTTGTTCATTACAGTATCTCCAAAAGGTATTCCACTGTTTGGCACTGAATAAATATGTTTCTCTTAAAAGGGACTGAAAGAGGCTCTTAAACTAAACTGACCCAATCATGTAAATTTTTGTGTCTTTTAGCATTTGAAAAGAAACTCTTTCAATTTAGGAATAAGAAAATACCATACATCTACCCCAAAGGCAATGAATTATTTTTAAATAAAGATAATGACAAAAAAAAAGTTGACCCAGACTATCATTTAAAATTAAGAGCAAATAAGTTCTACTAACTATTTTCTATTTACTCATCTTTCTTGCAGCCCAAGCCTTCCTGAGTGAAATCTGGTCATACTTTATTGCAAGTTTCTTGTTTGGAATTCTAAGTTCGAAATTGATTCAATTGTGGCTGTCTACTGTTTTTGATGATGATGTCAATTATATCAGTCTCAGCTTTTCAGTTGTATACCTCATCTATTTTATTTGTAAGTGAAGGTCATGTGCCTAAAATTATATGACATAGACTATTTAAAATAAAAGTATGGGAAAATATATACCAGTCAACAGTTAGTAAAAAAAAAATTCAACTGATCAAGGAGGAACGTTTTGTTAAAATAATCTATCAAAGGAGATTAAAAAATATTAACATCTATACAACAGAAAATAATGTCCCAAGATAAATAAAGCAAATACCATTACAGAAGACAGAACAATGTGACAAAATCATTATTACAATGGGATACTTTAGTATGCCTTTCCCAAGTAATTTTATAACCAAATGGATAGAAAATAATTATGGCTATAAAGAAAATTTAGACAGAAAATGAAATGCCTGGTTATAAGATGCAAGTAATTCTACCTCTCAAAACAGAATGCTTATCCTTTACATATACCTGTAGACCATTTACAGAAATGAACTAGACTAGCACATTTCAATAAAATTCCAAACACTGTTCAACTGCGATGCAATAAGTACCAACAAAAAGGGAGGGTCTTTAAAAATAATCCTTCTAACTTCCTGAAATTAAATATAATTTTCTTGGTAACTATTAGATCAAAAAGCATATCAAAATAGAAGTTACAGATCAAGTAAGGCTGAATATTAGAAAATCTATACATGTACCACCACTTACTCCTCACAGAAGTATGGCAGGCAATGATACTTAGCCTTATTACTGTTTTCTGATACAGCCTCAGAATCATTTTCAAACCAGTTCATCAAGACAGCCTTACAAATAATTTGGATCTGGCATGTTCAATAATACCTAGTTACCACCTTACACTGTTTTTTTTTCCATTACGTTTAGAAATAAGACAACGTGGCCTGTTCTCATGTCCATGATTTAAAGTAGCTCTGGAAGCTTTAGCTAATGTAATTTTTTTTTAAAAAAAGAAGTTTCTATATATTTTGAAAGAGAAAATGATTATATTAGCCACAACAGTTTAGATTACATTAAAAACCCAACAGAATTAATTAATGAACTAAGCCAGCAAGGCTCTTTAATAGTTTGATATAAAATACAAAGAAAAGGCATTCTTATAAGCCAGCAGGAGCTAGTTAGAAAATATAATGAAATTTGATTCTCTTTACATTGGCAAAAGTTATAAAAATAAAGGAATAAACTAAAAGTTTGGACCTAAACATAGAAAACTATAAAAGTTTATTGAGAAAAAAATTTTTTGAATAAATTGAGATGGAGAAATATCTTCTCTTTAGAAATGTTAGTACAAAATTCATGATTTTCATGTCTGGGAAAAGAAAGGCAGAGATAGGATCTTGAGACATCTTAATTAATCAATGGATTAAAGTCAATTATAATCTAGTGAGGTTACAGAATCAATTTAATAAATTAACATACAGTGAGGGAATGATCAGATAGTTCAAGTACATTCATAATGTACTACTTTAATTAGTATACCTAAGTTCCTACAAAAATCTATTTCAGCAAATGTAATTTCCTCTAGCATCATTTGGTAAGTAAACATAGCCTCAAGATTAACAGTTATACCCAAGGAAATAATTTCAAACTCATCAGCTCACTTCCACCTTATTCATCCCGTACCACTCAGAAAACATTAGACCTGCTACCAAGCATGGTCTAGCCTCACCAGGGCACATGGATAGTTTTGTGAACTCCATGTTCTTGCCAATGATCTGAAGCTAAAGCAATGCAAGGATGTGCAGTACGGACTTTACTACACAATTGGGTGTAAATTTGAGGAGGAAGAGGGATGATGGGGATGGTAATAATTTTCAGTTTTATCCAGCTGGAACCAAGGTAAGCTTTCTATAAAGTTGCTATACTTTCATGATATCTGATATTTTCATCCCTGATAACATTTGTGTTACTGTTGATATTAAATTATTACTTTATACTTATTTCCTTTTAAAAATAGGTGAGCTAGTTGGAATGTCTGGAATATTTACCCTGGCCATTATAGGGCTTTTTTTAAATTCTACAAATTTTAAACCAGGAGTTGAAGCACTTCTTCTCAAGTGAGTGGCTGGCATATTTTCACTTTGTTTCATATGTTAGAAGCTATAATATTATGATAGTAACTATATATACATCTGCATAATCAAAGCAAGATACCGACTTAAAAACTACCCCACTAAAAACCCTTTCTAAAAACTCCATTGCTTATGTCTTCTAATCCTCTAATTTTAAGCATTATTTGTAACCTCACTTGTGTTTATGTTGGCTTTGTTTTCTCACTAATTCCCTCAAGCTTCTGACCAGTTATTCAGGAATTACCACTAGTCAAAGCTAGGGTTAAGGTAAGGCAAGTGAAGCACTCATTTCAGGCACAAAATTTGAGTGGGTGCCAAAAAAAACTTAGTAATCAAGATAAATATTATTTTAATGCAATATTTTTAAAGTTGAAATTAATGCAAAAAAAATCCATGGTGGTACATTAAAATTTTTAATAAAGGTAAGAGCAATATTACCAATAATCCCTTTTACCTCAGGCTCCCATATAGCTCCACATGGCACGGCTACAAGAATGGACGATCCGTATTTTAAGGACTGACACAATATGGCACTCAGAGAGCTTTCACCACACAGACCTTACCCTGTACATAAGATATTTTTCTTTCCTAAAGGAGAAAGTAGCTTTCAAACTGGGTCTGCTAACTCCAGTTCCCTGCCTCCTGCTGAAACCAGAGTCTTTCCATCCTATGTTTCAGTTACAGGTGATACTGGACTCTAGAAATTATCACCATAGCCAACTCCATCCTTAGAGCAGATGTGACCTGTAGGGCCATTCATGAAACTCTCCTCCCATGTTCACATTATCCCTACAGGTATGTTAAATCTATGACCCAAAGTCTGCTCTTCTGTTCCTCACCCTGTAAAGGTGGAGAGGGACTTCCTCACCCACCGGCATGCCTGATTGCAGAAACCAGTGCTATCAAGGTCTTAGCTGTCTGGTTTTCCTGGCAAGGGCATCGTAATGAGTGTGGAAAGCAATTTGGCAAAATGTAATAACATCAGTAAAGGGGCAATTATCTTCTAGTGTAACAATTTCAGTTCTGGGGCCTGAGGAAATAATCAGAGAAGTACAATAAAGTTCTGTATAGAGATACACACTGGTGCATCGCTTATCAGGGGAAAAAGTGGAACCGAATGAAAGGCCCAACAGTAAGGAACCAGTCAGTCAGTTTGGCAGGTCAAAACAACAAAGGAGATTTACTCAGCTGGAATTTAGGGGTTTTCCTTTTTCTGCATTTGCTGTGTGGATCCAGGGGCTTTCCTTTTTTTCTGTATTTGCTGTACAGATCCAGGGGCTTTCCTTTTTTTCTGTATTTGCTGTGCATTTCAGGTTAGATCTAGAATATAAGTTCCATGAATTTAGGGACTTTCTGCTGCTTGTTCATTACAGTATCTCCAAAAGGTATTCCACTGTTTGGCACTGAATAAATATGTTTCTCTTAAAAGGGACTGAAAGAGGCTCTTAAACTAAACTGACCCAATCATTTAAATTTTTGTGTCTTTTAGCATTTGAAAAGAAACTCTTTCAATTTAGGAATAAGAAAATACCATACATCTACCCCAAAGGCAATGAATTATTTTTAAATAAAGATAATGACAAAAAAAAGTTGACCCAGACTATCATTTAAAATTAAGAGCAAATAAGTTCTACTAACTATTTTCTATTTACTCATCTTTCTTGCAGCCCAAGCCTTCCTGAGTGAAATCTGGTCATACTTTATTGCAAGTTTCTTGTTTGGAATTCTAAGTTCGAAATTGATTCAATTGTGGCTGTCTACTGTTTTTGATGATGATGTCAATTATATCAGTCTCAGCTTTTCAGTTGTATACCTCATCTATTTTATTTGTAAGTGAAGGTCATGTGCCTAAAATTATATGACATAGACTATTTAAAATAAAAGTATGGGAAAATATATACCAGTCAACAGTTAGTAAAAAAAAAATTCAACTGATCAAGGAGGAACGTTTTGTTAAAATAATCTATCAAAGGAGATTAAAAAATATTAACATCTATACAACAGAAAATAATGTCCCAAGATAAATAAAGCAAATACCATTACAGAAGACAGAACAATGTGACAAAATCATTATTACAATGGGATACTTTAGTATGCCTTTCCCAAGTAATTTTATAACCAAATGGATAGAAAATAATTATGGCTATAAAGAAAATTTAGACAGAAAATGAAATGCCTGGTTATAAGATGCAAGTAATTCTACCTCTCAAAACAGAATGCTTATCCTTTACATATACCTGTAGACCATTTACAGAAATGAACTAGACTAGCACATTTCAATAAAATTCCAAACACTGTTCAACTGCGATGCATTAAGTACCAACAAAAAGGGAGGGTCTTTAAAAATAATCCTTCTAACTTCCTGAAATTAAATATAATTTTCTTGGTAACTATTAGATCAAAAAGCATATCAAAATAGAAGTTACAGATCAAGTAAGGCTGAATATTAGAAAATCTATACATGTACCACCACTTACTCCTCACAGAAGTATGGCAGGCAATGATACTTAGCCTTATTACTGTTTTCTGATACAGCCTCAGAATCATTTTCAAACCAGTTCATCAAGACAGCCTTACAAATAATTTGGATCTGGCATGTTCAATAATACCTAGTTACCACCTTACACTGTTTTTTTTCCATTACGTTTAGAAATAAGACAACGTGGCCTGTTCTCACGTCCATGATTTAAAGTAGCTCTGGAAGCTTTAGCTAATGTAATTTTTTTTTTAAAAAAGAAGTTTCTATATATTTTGAAAGAGAAAATGATTATATTAGCCACAACAGATTAGATTACATTAAAAACCCAACAGAATTAATTAATGAACTAAGCCAGCAAGGCTCTTTAATAGTTTGATATAAAATACAAAGAAAAGGCATTCTTATAAGCCAGCAGGAGCTAGTTAGAAAATATAATGAAATTTGATTCTCTTTACATTGGCAAAAGTTATAAAAATAAAGGAATAAACTAAAAGTTTGGACCTAAACATAGGAAACTATAAAAGTTTATTGAGAAAAAAATTTTTTGAATAAATTGAGATGGAGAAATATCTTCTCTTTAGAAATGTTAGTACAAAATTCATGATTTTCATGTCTGGGAAAAGAAAGGCAGAGATAGGATCTTGAGACATCTTAATTAATCAATGGATTAAAGTCAATTATAATCTAGTGAGGTTACAGAATCAATTTAATAAATTAACATACAGTGAGGGAATGATCAGATAGTTCAAGTACATTCATAATGTACTACTTTAATTAGTATACCTAAGTTCCTACAAAAATCTATTTCAGCAAATGTAATTTCCTCTAGCATCATTTGGTAAGTAAACATAGCCTCAAGATTAACAGTTATACCCAAGGAAATAATTTCAAACTCATCAGCTCACTTCCACCTTATTCATCCCGTACCACTCAGAAAACATTAGACCTGCTACCAAGCATGGTCTAGCCTCACCAGGGCACATGGATAGTTTTGTGAACTCCATGTTCTTGCCAATGATCTGAAGCTAAAGCAATGCAAGGATGTGCAGTACGGACTTTACTACACAATTGGGTGTAAATTTGAGGAGGAAGAGGGATGATGGGGATGGTAATAATTTTCAGTTTTATCCAGCTGGAACCAAGGTAAGCTTTCTATAAAGTTGCTATACTTTCATGATATCTGATATTTTCATCCCTGATAACATTTGTGTTACTGTTGATATTAAATTAATACTTTATACTTATTTCCTTTTAAAAATAGGTGAGCTAGTTGGAATGTCTGGAATATTTACCCTGGCCATTATAGGGCTTTTTTTAAATTCTACAAATTTTAAACCAGGAGTTGAAGCACTTCTTCTCAAGTGAGTGGCTGGCATATTTTCACTTTGTTTCATATGTTAGAAGCTATAATATTATGATAGTAACTATATATACATCTGCATAATCAAAGCAAGATACCGACTTAAAAACTACCCCACTAAAAACCCTTTCTAAAAACTCCATTGCTTATGTCTTCTAATCCTCTAATTTTAAGCATTATTTGTAACCTCACTTGTGTTTATGTTGGCTTTGTTTTCTCACTAATTCCCTCAAGCTTCTGACCAGTTATTCAGGAATTACCACTAGTCAAAGCTAGGGTTAAGGTAAGGCAAGTGAAGCACTCATTTCAGGCACAAAATTTGAGTGGGTGCCAAAAAAAACTTAGTAATCAAGATAAATATTATTTTAATGCAATATTTTTAAAGTTGAAATTAATGCAAAAAAAATCCATGGTGGTACATTAAAATTTTTAATAAAGGTAAGAGCAATATTACCAATAATCCCTTTTACCTCAGGCTCCCATATAGCTCCACATGGCACGGCTACAAGAATGGACGATCCGTATTTTAAGGACGGTGAAGAGATACCCTGCAAAGCAACTTAATTAAAAGATTAAGCTAGGGTATTTGAAAAGGATTGGAAGAGTTATAAATGGAAGTATAGCCAAGCTAAATGTAAGCAAGATACAGTTAGTAGAAATGCACAAATTGCTCCCTGCCCACAGGCACTCAGCAGAGTGGTGAGCGGGGTCTGCACCAGCCCAGAGCAGTGCTTTCCGTAGTGTCCCCACAGGCAGGAAGGGAACTGACCTGAATCACACAGTGGTAGCATGTGTATTAGCAGGCGTCCTATACATTATCGGTGATTTTAGGAGTTTTGGAGAACATTATAGAAGATAGAATAATTTCCGAAGTCAGAAGCTTAAAAGTATAGGATCTTAAAGAATTTTGGAGCACTTCCCTAAAATTTCATGTCCTGTAACACTACAAACCAACAGTACCAGCAGCTAGGCAGAATTAATTGGGCCACAATTGTAGGAAGAATTATAAATATTACATGAGTGTTTATCTATGGGAAGTGATTCTGAAGACTCCCTTTACCTCCGTGCTCTACTGTAAACTGGATCTCCCCTGAAGATGTTACTTTCCTTGCATTCCTTAAAAATGTGGTGTCTTTCTCACCCGCATCCCTGGTATACAAAGCCTAGAGTTGAGGTGGGTCATCTCTCTATACCTCATTTCTAGATCATTCTTTCTGATTCTTCTCCTGAAGAACTGAATTTTGAAGCTCACACCATCGTATTATACCTTCTGCTGCTCTCTCGGTTGCGATTCCCTCTGGAGATCTGAGTCACACTCTCAGGTTCATGGCGATTTCGGCCCCTCTCGCTGTGACTCTATTCGACACCATGACTCCAAGACATGCCCAGTGCTGTCAATCAACATCCACACAGTTGGTCCTTCTACTCCCTTACCTTTCAACTCCCAGACCTCCTCTCCTCCTTATGAGCATGTCCACCATGCTGCTTCAACCACTCATTTATGTGGCCATACAGATAGATGCTTTCTTCATGATCTCGATTTCAAGAATCTTACTGTCTAAAATAGGTATCATCTTCTGGAGCCCGTGACAGTAGAAATCTAAGATAATAATGGTAAATCTTGCTATGTTCCACAACAATCTACAGCAGGTCCATGTTACTCTCTAAGAGCAGAGGCGCACCATCTCCCATCATTTCAGCTTACAGCCTTTAGGACCCCAGTTCTAACAATTCTGCAAACACCCTGAGGCTATAATGCATTGATCCTGTAATTCTATGATATCTGATATTTTCATCCCTGATAAAATTTGTGTCACTGTTGATATTAGATTAATACTTTGTACTTACTTCTTTTTAAAAATATGTGAGCTAGTTTAAAAATAGGTGAGCTAGTTGGAATGATCTTTTACTGATCCTCACCTGCCTCACATCCTCCTCACCCAAATCATTTCTTTTGTTTAAAGCCATCTAACAACTTCTCATTCATTTGGCTGCAGGCCAAATTTGTTTCAATGGCAACAAAGTCCTAAAATATGTCCCCCTGTTATCTCTGTGATTCCTTTCTACTGCTCTCTACCCACCTACCCTGCTCTAGCCACACTAACCACCCTGCTACTCCTCAAACATGGCAAACATGTTTCCTGGTTGGGTTTGTGTCTGTGTTTTGCTCTTGAAGTGTACATTCCATATATATGTGCATGCTTGCCCTACACCCTGGCAGAGGTGGCTGCCTCACTTATTTCATGCTTCTAGTCACACATCACCTTTTTATAAGGAAATTCTCAAGAGCTGCTTTATTGTCAACCCATATAATATTTTATTTCTAGCAACTTGACATCCCTAAATGTTTAGCCCATAAGTCCTTATCATTCCTCTGGGCTAGTCGCTATTCATCACTGGACAACAAAAATAATACAGCTGCTGATATCGATTGAAGCAAACTCTCCGAGGGTGAGCACATGGGATTTCTGATCTTAGAAACTCTCCTCTGGTGATTCTTCCACACAGACAGGGTTGTGACCCTCTGCTACCATAAAAGATCTAGATTTATTAGGATATTGATCACCAAATGAAGGAAAGGCACTTTTAAAAAAATATTCAGAAGCTCGTTTCCTGTGTGTCTGATTTTCAGTGTACACACATACACACACACACAAGTACCCACACATCCATCAGATGGCTTTGGGACTTGGTTTGCTGTCCTCACTCTGAATGTCGTGGGGACTGTTTCCTTAGAGAATTTGCTTTCCTGTCCATCAATTCTCTCCCATTAATTTCTACCACATGTGAAAGGGTCTGAATTGCTCCTCAATATTTGTTGCTTCATTGATTTGATTACATTTTATGCTAATTAACAAGACTATGATTTTTGGCTTTTTGTGACATTTTTCCACAATGTTAGAAAGATTTTTTAATTATGTAATTGCTAAATTAATAACAAAGTATGATAGTGGTTCATATTTCATTTGACATTCATGTGAATGAATTATCCTACTCAATTAAGGTTTACAAGTGATTTCATTAATTGTATGGGTATACGTGGGTGTATATTTTAAGGGACCTTATTTTTGGTACTATGTACACAGCGGAACAATTGGATTTGCTTTTGATAGTGGAGTATAAAGAAGGTTGAAAAAATATAAAAATTACATAGTTGGTCATAAAATATATCTTAGTGTGTTTCCCTCCCAAGTTAATGCTTGCTACATTTAAATTCAGAGAGTAACAGAATTAAACGTATGGCCATATAAACATATACATGAAAGGGTTCACAGTTCATAGCCTAGAGTAATTAGCTTAAGTTCAGTCACAGAAAAAATATTTTGAAAGATTTGATTTCACATTTCGTAGGCTATAATGTTTTATATCAAATTTTCCTCTGTAATGCCTCCTAAATATAGTTCAGTAACTGAAATTTCTTATAAATGTAACAAAAAAAGGTTTTCCTTTAGTATTGAATTTGTTTTTAAGCAAAAGTAATATTCCTGGAGAAGGGACAAAAATTATCTTTAAAAGGTCTGACAGTATATGATAAAACCAAGCTACCTTCCTCTCATAAAATGGTACTCACGTGCCTTTTCAATTTAGCGTGTTATAAATACAATACGTTGACATTAAAGTTGTTAAATATATATAGCTTCTTATTCTCCCAATACCCAAACAGGACCAATATTGGCAAATGCCTTTTCCAAACTGCTTTGCGTGCAGCAGATGAGAAGAGCCTTGGAATGGTGCAGTCTTTTCCTGAGCTCTGCAGCGCTTGCACAAACTCATGCTCACAAATGCCGAAGACTCTTCAAAGGGCATTCATGGGAATAAAGGATTCATTCACATCTTCTAAGAGCTAGCTAGATTTTAGGAAAAGGCTTAATTCCATCACTGTGTACATCAGACCAGCAGTTCAGTATTCCCTTTAAAAATAAGCCATTTTAGCTTTCTCTAATGTTACAGGCACAACCAGTATTTTTGCGCTGGGTGAACCACGATGCCTGAGTTCTGTCAAAAGATACAGCTGCGACCTCGACTTGGCTTTCCCAGTCATCAGAAAAGAAAGTCACTAACTTACATGGAGTGTAAAGTGGTTAAAATTACTTTGAATTATTTGTTTATTTGCCTTAGTGCTCCTTTTTCTCCCCAGTGAAATTATGAGCCACTTGAGTGTTGGTAATTGCCTCACTCATTTTTATTTTCTTAATACTACCTAGCACAATACTTCTCATAGATGAGCCTTGCAATAAATACATTAATTAACTATATTTAATTTTGTTTCTGAAAATGCAGATTCTGGAATTGTCTATCATTTGTTGCCCTTCTTATGGTGTTTACTTTCATTGGACTTTTAATTCCTGCACATACATATTTATCTGTATCATTATCTGATGTATATTACTTATTAAATACCTACTTCACACTTACTGTTTTAAGGTAAGAATGTCATTTGAATTTTTCTGTTTATGGGACATTGAATAAACCCAAAGATATTTTTAAATAACATAAATGTCTCATTCCCTAGAGTGAAGAATTGACTTTTAAACTTTTCAAGGAATCATCGCAAATTAATTAGCTTAATGTTGCTCTTCCATTTTTAACTGCATTTAGAAGAATGCAAGCATTGTGTAAATTTTTTGAAAATTAGAAGAAAAGAACTTTCATAATCTTACTACCTAGAGGTAGTAAGTTAACCACTATTAACATTTGCTATAGTTCTTGCAGTTTTGTTTTGTTTTCCTATGAGGTTTCATTAAGTTTAACACCTGTAATGAATCAAAATTCTATCTTGCTTTGTTTGCTTAATATGATATAACAAATCATTTCCTGCTAATTAAATTGTTTAATTTAAATTAATTTTAATTCATTAAATTTAAACATATCTATCATTTAATTTAAATTTTGTAAACGTCCCTTCTGCTAAAATAATTTTGTAGTCCCTTTTCGAATGTTAAGAGGCAGGAAAGAGTCTGCCCATGTGGCTGAAAAGGAGATGCTATGAAAGGAGGAAGAGCCACCACAACTAGAGTCTCAGCTCTTGAATCTCGATCACTCAGATTGCTAGCATTCTACTTCCATCCAGGAAAACCAGTTGAGAGTTCACATGCAGTTGGCAAGGGCCAACTAACTGGAAATCAGTCTCAAATGATCAGACACAAAAGCGTAGGAACAATATGTGATTGAAAGAAGAAATAGAAATGAGTTAACCAATATTGGACAGACTCAGCAAGATTTCTACAAAGAAGAAAGGGGAGACTTTTTTCTTTTTGCTTCCGATTCATTAGATTTGCTTTTATTTCTTTTTGGGACCCAGATAGGAATA